CGCCCTGCTCCGCGTCCTCCTGGTCGTCCCCGAGGCCGGTGTCGGTGCGCTGCTGGAGCTGCCCGTCAAGGGGGGGGGGGGGGGGTACTGTCACGACTTCCTCCGAGGCTGCCTCCTCTCCTTGTTCGGGCAGGCTTTGGCGTTTGTCGTCACCAGCCTTCTAGCCACTAGCCATCATCCATTTATTTTGTCTTATTTATTACACACACCTGGTTCATATCCCCTCATCAGTACCTGTATAAGTGTTCCCTCTGCACCATTGTCTTTGTGTGTGATTGTTTATTGTGGAGAGTAGTGAAGCTCGGTGAAGCTCCTTGTATTTTGTATCGCCGGGATATTTCCCCTTGTGCCTTGTATTTTCCAGTGTGTTTTGACGCGTTACTGCGTAACTATGTGGTTGCGGAATAAAACCTAAGTATTTGGCTAAGGTCTATGTAAACTTCCGACTTCAACTGTAGGTGTAACTGATAGATGCACACATACACATACACACACACACACACACACACACACACACACACACACACACACACACACACACACACACACAGTAGATGTTAATGTTAAAAAATGTATGTTAATTGTAAAGTATTTTCTCTGTAATGTCTTTTTCGTTATCTGTCGGACCCCAGTAAGACTAGCTGTCGCCATTGGCGTCGGCTAATGGGGATCTTAATAAATCAAAAATCTATTCAAAATCTCTCTCTCTCTCTCTCTGTCTTCCTCTCTGTTTGTGTGTGTGTGTGTGTGTGTGTGTATGTGCGTGTGTGGTGTGTATGTATGTATGTGTGTGTGTCACAACAAGATACACTACTTTATTTTTCTCTTTCTATATCGCACAATTTTTCTTGCCTATTTCCCCCTATTCTCTCTCTCTCTCCCCACCCCTCTCTCGTTTGTTTTACCTAATCATATTCACTGAAAGGGGAACTATGGTAGAATCTCAAATAGCTTTGCTCCCCTCCCTCCTCCCTCCTCTGTCCTGTCTTTGCCTCTTTTTGAAAAAAAGGTCAAAGGTAATCGAGGAGCGGAGGCGAGGAGAGGAAACATAAAAACACATTTATGAAATTAGACTCTCCTTCACTCACTTGTCATCAGGCAAATGACGTTTACAAGTGTGGAATCCCCAAATAAATGTGTGAAGTGATAGAAACAAATGTAGGTAGTTGTGCAATACACTTCCGCGTGAGGTAATCGAGGAGGTGAGCAGACTCCTTCGTTCGCCTACTAACGAATTGACACTCTCCTCAATCACTCGGCCACTTATCGGTTTCCCCTGGTCACGGAGAAGAGGAGTCGAGGAGAGGATGGACTTTTGCCTAATTGAGAATCTCCCAACGAATCTTCCTGTGTTTTACTAAAGAACCCAATCAGCTGTCACTTTCTGAGGTCAACTGCCCCTACAGGGATCAGCTCCTGCTCAACTCAGCTCAGCCCAGACAAAACTCTTCTCTATCCTGACACCCCCCCCACAATTGGGGTGTCAGGATAGAGAAGAGTTTTGTCTGGAAAATAGCTACTCGCTATTTTTGACATTAATTTATTTAGTAAATATTTTCTTAACTCTATTTTCTTAAAACTGCATTGTTGGTTAAGGGCTTGTAAGTAAGCATTTCACGGTAAGGTCTACACATGTTGTATTCGGCGCATGTGACAAATAACATTTGATTTGATTTGATTGATTCTTCCCGAAAACATCTGAAACCCTACTCTTCAAAGAGTATCTTAAATAAGACATCATAAAATGTGTGGGAAAAATCTGCTTTTGTCTCTTCCTACTAGCACTGACTTTTCTGATAACTACTTTATTGAGGAAAAAAGTACTTATTATGACTGTGATATGTGGTTGTCCCACCTAGCTATCTTAAGATGAATGCACTAACTGTAAGTCGCTCTGGATAAGAGTGTCTGCTAAATGACTTAAATGTAAACATAAAAAGTATTGGCCATCAGAGATAGTACCCTACGGCCTACATTTTGCATTGTGCCTTCATCTGGAGTATGTGAGGTAGTGAAGGTTTGTGTGCTACTCTGTAATAGTGAGTGTATATTGTATAGGATTAGTATGTATGGTCAATGTTAGTGTGTGTATAGTGTAGTCTGTAGTGAATTGTAGTATACTGTAATAGTGACTGTGAGTGCTGTCCATGCTGTGTTTACCCACATTGCTGAGCTGAGCCACCATTGTGTGTGTGTCTCAGTGTGTGTGGTGGGGGTGAGCTGAGCCGAGCAGGCTGTTTAGGTCAGGGCGACCTGACTCTGTGACTGTGTAGCTGATTATTTTATGGAGGTGGAGATTGGACAGCCATCGCACCAGAGTCTGCCATCGCTGCTGTGTGAGTGTGTATGTGTGTATGTGTGTGTGTGTGGTGTGTGTGTGTATGTGTGTGTGCCAGAGTCAGTGTAAAGAACAGACTACTTCCTTTCTTTTTCTCTTTCTGTATCGCACTATTTTTCTAGCTTTTTCCCCCTATTCTCTCTCTCTCCCCACCCCTCTCTCTGTCTCCCTCCTACCCCTTCTCTCTTGTTTGTTTTACCTAATCATATTCACTGAAAGGGAATCTCAAATAGCTTTGCCCTCCTCCGTCCTCTGTCCTGTCTTCGCCTGTTTTGGAAAAAAAAGGTCAAAGGTAATCGAGGAGCGGAGGCGAGGAGAGGAAATGTAAAAACCCCAAAACATGTTTATGAAATTAGACTCTCCTTCACTCACATGTCATCAGGCAAATGACGTTTACAACTGTGGAATCCCAAAAGAAATGTGTAAAATGATCAAAACAAATGTAGCTAGTTGTGCAATACATTATTTTATAGCTAAATGGATAAGTCGGATATTGTTTTTAAATGTGTGCATGGTTTTCTCCTTTGAGAAAACAACAGCTGATTCAAAGGGGGATATGGCGGATTTTAAAACACTTCCGTGTGAGGATACTCTAACGAAGTAGGTAATCGAGGAGGGGAGCAGAATCCTTCATTCGCCTACTAACGAATTGACACTGTCCTTGATCACTCGGCCACTTGTCGGTTTCTGGGTCATGGAGGAGAGGAGGACGGAGGAGTTGAAGAGACGATGGACTTTTTCCCAATTGAGAATCTCCCAACAAGTGTGAGTAGTTTGGCTCTTCCTGTGTTTTACTGAAGCAACCAATCAGCTGTCACTTTCTGAGGTCAACTGCCCCAGGCAGGGGTCACAGCGCCATCCTGAAGTGACCTTTTATCTGACCTCTTCTCATTGAGGCCAAACACTGTGTTGCTAGTAATTTTTCTTCACAACATATCTAATGGAGAAAATCACATGAAGAAAATGACATTTATTTTAAGTGTTTTGAATGTTGATGTAAAAAAAAAAAAATCAAGCCTTTCTGGGTTCTGGGGGACATTTTGCCTGCGGCTCTGCTTTTTGCGTGTTGCTCCAATTACTCTTCTGACCTGAAAAAGGACGTTGACTGACATGGGTTTCAGTTACTGGCTCACCTGTTCACCTAGCCTTTGATCATGACTCTCAGTTACATTACATTATACATAAGAGTCATTGGACGAAGGCGTCTTCTGTATGGGGGAGTTTTGTTAAGAGCCACAACGCTCAATCTGAACATTCACACGCGTCATTTGCAGTTCGGTTTTGGAAGCATAAAGACCTTATCTTTCATTTCAGCGAGAAATAATACAAATGACATAAAAGGTTAAATTGATACACACCTTTATAGGGTTAAGGGTAGTGTTCCCACACGGCCATATCTCCATGTTACAGCGCTTGTTTACCGAAAACAAGATGCAACCATCTACAGTAAGTGTATCTTTTTATTTGAAGCATTCTTTCTTGCTGATGAAAGATAAGGGCCATATGTTTCGAAAGCCATATCGCAAGCGATGACTATTGACGTTTCTAAACGTTAAAACACAGTGTCGGGATTGTAGTTCACATGAGCGAAGCTAATGGCTGTAGCTCAGCTGGTAGAGCACGGCGCTTGTAACGCCAAGGTAGTGGGTTCGATCCCCGGGACCACCCATACACAAAAAAAAAAATACAAAAAATACAAAAAAAAAAAATGTATGCACGCATGACTGTAAGTCGCTTTGGATAAAAGCGTCTGCTAAATGGCATATTATTATTTATTATTATAAAACTGTAGGGAGAAGGCAGAATGCCGCCTAGAGATTTTGAGCGCCACTGTTCACCCTGTCTAAGTAATGATTGGGGTAAGCATGTAGTGCCACAAAGGTTGTCCAGGTTGTGTGACAGATGAAGTGACAACAGAGCCATATATATTATTGAGAGAAAGAGAGAGGGAGAGAAAGAGAGAGAGAGATATGACTCTGGATGTGTGCGGCCATGTTGTGTGTGTGTGTGTGTGTGTGTGTGTAGGTGGATTATGGTAAACTGTTAGAAGTAATGTACAAGGTCTTGTTGAACTTGTGTGTGTGTGTGTGTGTGCATTCCTGTGTGTCTAGGTTTGCGATGGGGAACTCGTATGCGGGCCAGTTGAGGACCACACGTTTTGAGGAGGTGCTTCATAACTCCATAGAGGCTTCACTCCGCTCCAACACTGTGGTGCCACGGCCTGTCTTCTCACAGCTCTACCTGGAGGCAGAGCAGCCACCCCTGCACAATGGTGTGTGTCTGTGTGTGTGTGCTGCGTATGTGTTTGAGTGCGTGTGTACGTGTGTCTGCACCTGTATGCGTGTATGTGTCTATGTGTGCGCGCTTGTGTGTGTGTGTGTTGGAACACTCTGTAATGAGAATGTGTGTCAGCAGGCCGGGTGGAGAATGAGGAGGAGGAGGAGGAAGATGGCTCAGAGTCCAACAGCCCCCCCGTTCCATACTATATGAAGCCCCCGCCAGAAGGATGCTGCACCACGGACGGTATGAACACACATGGTTCCCTCAGGGCTGCCCCCCTCACTGTATACATTGTCTCCTGTCTTAGGCTTCCGTCTGGGGGCAAGAGATCTGTCTGTCTGGTTAGGGTAACAGTCTGTGTGTGTGTGTGTCCCTCTCAGGGTTCTGCCAGGCCGGTAGGGACCTGCGTTTGTCCTCCCTGGCATCAGAGCCTCTGGACGTGGCCCCAGGGTTCCTGCTGGTAGGGGCCAAGTCCCCCAGTGCACCAGACACACTGCTGGTGTGTGCCGTCGACCGCAGGTTCCTGCCCGACGAACGAGGACTCAACGCACTGCTGGGTGAGACACCCACAGATACACACACTCGCATGCACGCACACATACACACACACCCACACACACACATACACACACACACATAGAAAGCACAGACTATAGCAGGGCTAGGCAACCCTTGGTCCAGATGAAGGGAAAAGGAAGAAAGAGAGTAAAGGTGAGAGGATAGAGAGGGACAAAGAGATTGAGATTGAAGAGATTGCGAAAGAGTTGGGTGGAGTGAGGTTTACAGTGAGATGGATGGAGAGAGGGAGAGTGGGGTTGGCAGGAGCTACATTGAGAAAGGGGAAGAGTGGGGGCTGGCGAAGGAAAGGGAGTGAGTGAGGCATTGACGAAGCTGAAATAGAGAGAAGGGTCGAGAGAGAGAGAGAGAGAGAGAGAATGACATAGAGATAGCGAGAGAAGAGAGAGATAGAGAGATATATAGAGAGAGAAAGGAGAGACAATGACAAGAGATCTAGAGATATTATATAGATTTAGAGAGAGAATAACAGAGATCGAGATAAGATAGAGTATACTAGATAATATATGGAGAGATATAGATATAGATTATATAGATCATACTATTACAGATATAGATCTACGTAGAGTATCGAGCTTATATATATAGATAATACGACATCTCCTCTATAGAAGCGAGAGAGAGAGAGAGAGAGGCTATAAAGAACAGTCAGGGTACCCTGACTGAAGTCACATACACACATTATTAGTCCCTCAACCTGGGCTCTGCTAGACACACACACGCACAACACACACCATCTCACAACCCAGCTGACCTGTAACCATGGAAACATTATCGCTCACACACTCTTTCTCTCGCTACGGGAGAAAAGGTTTATTACTCCCAAACACACACACACACTCACACACACACACACACACACACACACACACACTGACCCAGTGTTTGTGTTGTCATCCTCAGGGTTCTCTGGGAACTGTATGGGCTGTGAAGAGAAGGGCTTCCGCTACTTCACTGAGTTCTCCAACCACATCAACCTGAAGCTGAGCACCCAGCCCAAGAAACAGAAGCACTTAAAGTACCACCTGTACAGGAATAGCCATGGACAGCTGGTCAGGGGGGCTGCTATCTCCTGGAAGGGCCTCGGTAAGACAAGCAGGGGGAGTAGAGGGGATGGGGGGGGATATTTTCATGTGTGATCTTTCCATGACAATGTAAGTGTTGTAACGTTCCATGTCAATAAAGTATATTGAACTGAATTGAGAAAGAGAGCGAGGTAGAGGGGGGAGGGAGAGAGAGAGAGAAAGAGAGAAAGAGAGAGGGGTCAGGTCAGTGGGTCAGTCTCTCCTTCAATGTATCTCTGCTGTCGTTCTGTGGACAGGGGTCTAAGTTGGAGTTTGTAGGAGAGTTGGGGTCTGTGACCTGACCTGTCTTTCCAGGTGTGGAGGACAGAGGTCTGGGGTGAGAGGTCAGGACTGGGGTCAGGGTGAAGAGGGGTCGGAGCCTGTGGCTAGACTGTTACTGTATTCCTGATAATACCTGTGGTATACAGGATATGAGGCAGAGAGACAGTAAATCAAGTCTAATCCACACAGATTAGGAAGAGGGTTTGGGGTGAGTTTCAGACCTACAGTAACTAGAGTAGAGTTTACATTAACATGTAAGTAGAGCTCACATTAACGTATTCAGTTGGCATTAACATGCAAGTAGAGCTCACATTAACATATTAAGTTGGCATTAACATGTAAGTAGAGCTCACATTAACATATTAAGTTGGCATTAACATGTAAGTAGAGCTCACATTAACATATTCAGTTGGCATTAACATGCAAGTAGAGCTCACATTAACATATGAAGTTGGCATTAACATGTAAGTAGAGCTCACATTAACATACAGTGGGGAAAAAAAGTATTTAGTCAGCCACCAATTGTGCAAGTTCTCCCACTTAAAAAGATGAGAGAGGCCTGTAATTTTCATCATAGGTACACGTCAACTATGACAGACAAAATGAGAAGAAAAAAATCCAGAAAATCACATTGTAGGATTTTTAATGAATTTATTTGCAAATTATGGTGGAAAATAAGTATTTGGTCACCTGCAAACAAGCAAGATTTCTGGCTCTCACAGACCTGTAACGTCTTCTTTAAGAGGCTCCTCTGTCCTCCACTCGATACCTGTATTAATGGCACCTGTTTGAACTTGTTATCAGTATAAAAGACACCTGTCCACAACCTCAAACAGTCACACTCCAAACTCCACTATGGCCAAGACCAAAGAGCTGTCAAAGGACACCAGAAACAAAATTGTAGACCTGCACCAGGCTGGGAAGACTGAATCTGCAATAGGTAAGCAGCTTGGTTTGAAGAAATCAACTGTGGGAGCAATTATTAGGAAATGGAAGACATACAAGACCACTGTTAATCTCCCTCGATTTGGGGCTCCACGCAAGATCTTACCCCGTGGGGTCAAAATGATCACAAGAACGGTGAGCAAAAATCCCAGAACCACACGGGGGGACCTAGTGAATGACCTGCAGAGAGCTGGGACCAAAGTAACAAAGCCTACCATCAGTAACACACTACGCCGCCAGGGACTCAAATCCTGCAGTGCCAGACGTGTCCCCCTGCTTAAGCCAGTACATGTCCAGGCCCGTCTGAAGTTTGCTAGAGTGCATTTGGATGATCCAGAAGATGATTGGGAGAATGTCATATGGTCAAATGAAACCAAAATATAACTTTTTGGTAAAAACTCAACTTGTCGTGTTTGGAGGACAAAGAATGCTGAGTTGCATCCAAAGAACACCATACCTACTGTGAAGCATGGGGGTGGAAACATCATGCATTGGGGCTGTTTTTCTGCAGAGGGACCAGGACGACTGATCCGTGTAAAGGAAAGAATGAATGGGGCCATGTATCGTGAGATTTTGAGTGAAAACCTCCTTCCATCAGCAAGGGCATTGAAGATGAAACGTGGCTGGGTCTTTCAGCATGACAATGATCCCAAACACACCGCCCGGGCAACGAAGGAGTGGCTTCGTAAGAAGCATTTCAAGGTCCTGGAGTGGCCTAGCCAGTCTCCAGATCTCAACCCCATAGAAAATCTTTGGAGGGAGTTGAAAGTCCGTGTTGCCCAGCGACAGCCCCAAAACATCACTGCTCTAGAGGAGATCTGCATGGAGGAATGGGCCAAAATACCAGCAACAGTGTGTGAAAACCTTGTGAAGACTTACAGAAAACGTTTGACCTGTGTCATTGCCAACAAAGGGTATATAACAAAGTATTGAGAAGCTTTTGTTATTGACCAAATACTTATTTTCCACCATAATTTGCAAATAAATTCATTAAAAATGTGATTTTCTGGAGAAAAAAAATCTCATTTTGTCTGTCATAGTTGACGTGTACCTATGAAGAAAATTACAGGCCTCTCTCATCTTTTTAAGTGGGAGAACTTGCACAATTGATGGCTGACTAAAAACTTTTTTCCCCCACTGTATTCAGTTGGCATTAACATAGTCACTGGAGTGACTCTAGTGCTCTTACGGAAAATAGCCATACGTTCTCTCAAATTAGTACACAAACGCTGTGTAAGTACAGGAGCATTGACTGTGTTTTGATGGTTTTGACTGTGTGTATTTCTGTATGCCTGGCTGACTGTGTGTGTGTAGCCAAATGCTAATCTGTACGCGTGTGTGTTTGTGTTGCTGTGTGTTGTTGTGTGTCTGACTGTGTGCGTCTTCTTTTCAGAGAGCAGAGGGAGACAGACAGCGCCCAACGCCTCTGATGGTCATGTTATCTCAGACGAGCACCTCCTCAATCCAGCGGTCACCGCTCACCCTGCACACACACCCGGCAGCTACACTGGTACACCACACACACACACACACACACACACACACACACACACACACACACACACACACACACACACACACACACACACACACACACACACACACACACACACTCACTCACAGACATAACCCCACACACACATACATAACACACACACACAGACACACAGACACACCCACACACACTATGAAACTGTCTGCTAGATGACCATGTTTGTTGTTTTTTTCCGTCCCTCAAGCCGGCGCCCCTGTAGATCCGATCGGCCACCCTCACCTGGCTGACCTCCCCCCTCCCCTGACCAATGGGAGCCACACTCCCCTATCCCAGAATCCTTTGCCCCAGACGGCCGTACTATCCAATGGACCAGGGAGACCCACAGTTATAGGTAACTTGTGTGTGTGTGTGTGTTTGTGTGTGTGTGTGTGTGCACGCTTGTGTGTGTGTGTGTGTGTGTGTGCACGCTTGTGTGTGTGTGTGTTTATGTAGTATGAAGGGGTATGACATAGAATGACATATGCATTATAGCATCTTTATGGGGTAGGAGGCATGGCTTTAAATATGTGATGTCATTGTACCCCCCCCCTCATCTTCACACCTCCCCCTGAAAGAGAGAGCTCCTGTGTTTTAACAGTCTAAAGTGCCCAGTAGGAGCCGGCTGTATTGTGTGTGGGCCCCCATTGTTAAGACCCCCTTTCATTCAGCAACACTCTCCCTCTCTCCGTTCTCTTCCTCCCTCTATCTCCCTCAGACTGTTATCTCAATAAAAGCAGCACAGTAAAAAGTCTCTCTCTTTCTCTTTCCCTCTCTCCCTCTCTTTCTGGCTGTCTCATTCTCAGTGGGTTTAGTTGTAAAGTTGAAGGCTTCCTTCCTGCCAGTCTGGGTTTTGATAGGGGCGTTTCAACACGTGGACCCTTTGGTCTTTGTCTCTGTTGCTGCATAAGAAGAGAGCAGGCAGAGAGGAGAGGAAAGACAGCACGTGTAGAGGGGAAGAGGAGGAGCTGGTTTATATGACAAAGACCGTGCTATCTTTATGGTCAATAGTGAGCTACGGTTATACTGCCTGCTGGCTGGTTGGCTAACTGGCTGGCTGGTTAGTTAGCTGGCTGGTTGACTAACTGGCTGGCTGGTTAGTTAGCTGGCTGGTTGGCTAACTGGCTGGCTGGTTAGTTAGCTGTCTGGTTGTCTAACTGGCTGGCTGGTTAGTTAGCTGGCTGGTTAGTTAGCTGGCTGGTTGGCTAACTGGCTGGCTGGTTAGTTAGCTGGCTGGTTGGTTGGTTAGTTAGCTGGCTGGTTGACTAACTGGCTGGCTGGTTAGTTAGCTGGTTGGTTGACTAACTGGCTGGCTGGTTAGTTAGCTGGCTGGTTGACTGGCTTGCTGACTGGCTTGCTGTCTGGTTGGTTAGCTGGCTGTCTGGCTGACTGGCTGGCAGGCTGGTTGGCTTGCTTGCTGGCTGGCTGGCTGGCTTGATGGCTGGTCGGTTAGCTGGCTGGCTGGCTGGCTGGCTGGCTGGCTGGCTTGCTGGCTGGCTGGCTTGCTGGCTGGTTGGTTAGCTGGCTGTCTGGCTGGCTGGCTGGCAGGCTGGTTGGCTGGCTTGCTGGCTGGCTTGCTGGCTGGTTAGTTAGCTGGCTGGTTGCCTGGCTTGCTGGCTGGCTTGCTGGCTGGTTGGTTAGCTGGCTGGCAGGTTGGTTGGCTGGCTGGCTGGCTTGCTGGCTGATCTGTTGGATAAACAGAAGAATGAATTAACGAACAAACAAACAGGTGAACTAGAATGCACTGTATTTAGGGTGCCTTATGAAATAATGAATGAATGTTAATTGTCCATCAAGAAGACATTATTCTGTATATTCTGTATTTTTTTTTTATGTGCATACAAATCCAGAAGCATCCCCAACCCCAGAGACATACAATACATAACAGTGTGTTACTTGTCCTGTCAGGTACATTCAATGCGGGACCACCTAAAAAGAGACACAAAGGCTGGTCTCCTGAGTCTTCAGCTGTGAAGACCCCCCCATCTTCCTCCTCCTCCTCCTCTTCCTCATCACTCACCAATGGTACCAAACCAGGTAGGAGAGAGAGAGAGAGAGAGCGAGAGAGTGCATGTGTGTGTCCCGTGTGTGCGTGCACACATGCGTGCATGCAATTTCAGATGTCAGAAGCTAACTAGCATACAAGGCTGCTCTTTTCTTTGTGGGTATAGTTAGTTACCACTGTTTTATCTCTGCTACCTGCTGAGTGTGTGTGTGTTCCTGTGCCCACAGACCATGCCCCCCCAGAGAGTGTGTCCCAGGGGTCCTCCCACCCCCCCTCCCCCCCCGGGCCGTCTGTCACAGTGCCTGAGCAGCTGTTGAACACCTGCAGACTCCAGCCCGTCATCTTCAGAGGTCAGAAGTGTGTGTGTGCACGTGTGCGTGCGTGCGTATTTGTGTGTGTATGTGTGTTCCTATTCCACAGTGACATTAAACGCAAGAGTGCAACCAAAACCCAGCAGACACAGAGGCCCTTGAGGACCGGAGTCTGAGCCACTGTCCTAAAGCTTCTTAGCTCAGCAGTGGAAAGGTCATAATGTCCTCTGCTCTATCTCACCCCTTCACCCCAACTTGTTACTCCACCTCTCTCTCACTCAACCACCGCTTCACCTGGATCAATTATCATTTTCCCACCTCTCATCCTTTCACCTCTATTCTGTTTCCCACCCATCCCCCTCATCCCTCCATCCCCTGGGGGTATCCATTAGCTCACTCTCCATTTTCCCACAACCTGATCCTGTGCAGTAGCATCTGGTGTGTGTGTGTGTACGTGTGTTTATGTGTGTGTGTGTGTGCGTGCCTGTCTGTGTGTGTGACCTGTCTGTCTGTGTGTGTGTGTGTGTGTGTGTGTGTGTGTGTGTGTGTGTGTGTGTGTGTGTGTCTCTGGTCCCCAGGTCACGGCAGCCTACCCCAGCTGAGTGGTAAGGTGTGTGATGTGCAAGTCAGCTCCCTGCTCCAGAGCTGCTATCAGAACAGCCAGGCCCTGCCCAGGATCTACCAACACTATGGACCCTCTCCTATACAGCCCCTGTCTGCAGAGATGCAGATACTACTCACTGTATACTACCTGGTGCAACTAGGTGAGAGAGATGGTTGATTTCATTTTTAATTTTAGTCATGCTCACAGTTACATTTGACATTGTAGTCATTTAGCAGACGCTCTTATCCAGAGTGATTTACAGGAGCATTTAGGGTTAAGTGCCTTGCTCAAGGGCACATCGACAGATTTTTCAGTCGGCTCAGGGATTCGAACCAACGACATTTAGGTTACTGGCCCAAGCCTCTTAACTGCTAGGTTACCTGCCGCCCCAGTTAAAAAGGCTGAATTGTGCAGAACGTACTATTACATTGAGGCAATCGTTAAAAACCTAGTTGGTAATAACTGGTTATTGTCATTTCCCTCCAGGCCCAGACCAGGTCCCGCTGATCCAGGACCTGGAGCAGATCTTCATGCGCTCCTGGAGAGAGTCCCACCTCAGTGAGATCCGCCAGTACCAGCAGCCCCAGCCTGGCCTCTCCCTCCCTCAGGCTCCCTCCACTCTGCCTGGGCTGCCACAGGCCCAGGCCCTCACCCCCTCCCAGCTGCCCTGGCTGGCCCAGCTGGCAGCCTCGTCATGTGGGGAGGGAGTAGTGGTGCTGGGGGAGAAGACCTCAATGGCTCTGGGGCTGGCTGACACCTTCACTAGGCTGATGGAGGGACGGCTGGCTCATACCAACTATGTGGTCATCATCTGTACAGCCAAGGGACAGGAGACTGAGTCCTGTGTGGTGGTGACAGGTGTGTGGTGGGGAGGGGGGTGTAATATTGTGTGTGGGTGCCTGCTTGTGTCTTTTACATTTGCTATGTGTGTTTACACTTTGACTTATGGTGTGAGTGGAGTTGCAGACTTTTGTGTGCATGCATGCGTGTGTGTAATAACTGGTGTATACTATTTGTGTGTGCGTGTGTGTGTAGGTAAACACCAGTGTCGTACCCTGGCTGAGGGGATGTTCAGTCCCAGTGATAGTCTGAGAGAGATCAGTCAACAGTTGTCCTCTGGCATGACCCAGGAACTCACCACCTTCTGCAACTCTCTGGGACCTGGTAAGACTACTACAGATGTAGGATCTTCATTTGAGCCAGATTGCTACAGCCGAAAAATTATCCTGCAGCAATGTAGATTATATAATGAATGGATATTTTGATACGTTTTACATAAGGGACAATCAAGTCTGAAATTAGCATTTCCTGCTTCTCATCAACAAAACAGTGATCAAATGATGATGTTACATCTGTACACAACCCACCTGGATGCTGAGAAAGTGTGTCTGTGTTTGTGCGTGTGTGTGTATTTACCCATCTTAACTTCAATGGATTTGTTTCATATACATATTTTCTAAGTGCTCTGAGAGATGTACACTGTACATTGTTTACTGTATGCATGTACTCACCATATTGTATGTGTTTGTCAGATGGTGAGGTAGATGTGTTGCTGGAGAGTGCTGCTGTGGAGAGCAGTAGCCAGCTGTCCCCCCTGTCCAGCAGTCAGGAGTCCACAGGAGACAGCAGCCCTAAAGACAGACAGACGGACAGAGCTACAGGCAGCCCCAAAGAGCCAGCCACAGACAGACACACAGGCAGCCCCAAAGACAGAGCTGAGAGCCCCAAGGACTCCTGCTCAGGTGAGACATGCACTCTGTGTGGAGAGAACATCATGAAATGTGTGTAGTTTGACTAAGCTACATACTGTACCTACATACTGTATGTGTGTAGAATTTCATGTGAAGTGGCAAGAGGTGTGTGTAATATGTTTTGTGTGTGTGTGTGTGTTGTGTATATGTGTTGCGTTTATGACTTTGTGCATGATATGTGTAGAGTCTGTCCAAAACCTGTGTCTGTATGTGTGTGAGTGTGCATTATGTTTATACATTTGTGTGGTGTCTAAAACGTGTGTTTCCATGTGTGCGTGTATATACATTTGTGTCTAACGTGTATGTCTAACGTGTGTGTGTGTTTCTGTGTGTGTGTAGAGTACTGTGTGGAGTGGCGGGAGGTGCGGCCCATCCAGTTGGCGGTAGCCAGGAAGCTGCTGTCCCATGTGTGTGCCATAGCTGACTCCAGCACTCAGAACCTGGACCTGGGCTCCTTCAACAGGGTCCACTTCCTCATCTGTGTTCCTCCATCTGAGGTCACCTTCCAACAGACTGTACTGCATCTCTGGAACTCAGGTGAGATCCCTCCTCTCTTCCTCCTATTCTTCCTTCTCTTTTCTTTCACTTCTATTCCAGATATCAACATCAACATTCCTCTTTTCCCTCTCCTCTATCTCTTTCTCTTTCTCCTCCACGTTCATCTCACAGTTCAGCAGACTCTCCTCTTCATCTTCCTCCTCCTTCCTCCTCCTTCCCGCCTTCACCTCAATCCCTCTGAGGTGACTTCCAGGAAGTTGTCTTCAGGTCTTGTTCTCCTCTAGCTGATGTCTGTGTTGTATAGCAGGTTGAAAACACAGAGCCCCCTGCTGGTGTATTATAGAATCATTGAGAAATGTGTTCACTCGCGTTACTCAACCCTTCACCTGAAACACATTGGTGTCATGTGTGTGTATGTTTGTGTGGGTGTGGGTGTGTGTGTGTCCGCACGTGTGCGTTCGAGCTTGTGTGTGTTTAATCATTGTCTATGCCTGTAGGTGTCCTCCAGCAGCTGGGGTTGGAGCAGGAGTGTCTGTCTCAGAGAGAGGCTGAGCGCTACGTGGTCAAGATGGACCAGGAGGCCAGGGCGCGCATTGATGACCTCATACAGGAAGCACACAGGAACTCCAACACACTCTACATCCTGGTCCATGACCACGCACACTGGGACATCAGCAGGTGTGTGTGCGTGTGTGCGTTTGTGTGCTTTTTTGCTTGCGTGTGTCTGTGTGAGTGTGTCCCTGTGTTTCTAACGTGACCGTAACGTACAGTATACATCCCCCTGTCTCCCAGTGGACCGTACGGTGCCAACGGTGGTGACTCCGGCGGTGGGTTCGTGGACAGCCTGCTCAACTCCCTTCAGATCAGAGATGCCACCAACATCCTGACTCTCCACGTCACCTCGTTCCCCTTTGCCCTGCAGACACAACACACACGCATCAGCCCTTACAACGAGATACACTGGCCCTCCACCTTCAATAACGTAAGACATTCACACACACAGACCCACACTGACACAGACACACACACAGTCACAAACACACACACACACACACACACACACACACACACTGTTGTCTCAAACTCTCTGTGTGTGTGTGTGTGTGTGTGTGTGTGTGTGTGTGTGTGTGTGTGTGTGTGTGTGTGTGTGTGTGTGTGTGTGTGTGTGTGTGTGTGTGTGTGTGTGTGTTTGTCTAGGACATGGATCTGTACCATGAGAAGACGCGGTACTTTGGTGTGTCGGAGCTGCTGGACTCGACTCGTTCAGGCAGCGGCTTGCCTCTCCTCCGCTACGACAGCTCCTTCGAAAGCATGGCCTCTGCTCTGGAGGAGAGGTAACACACACACACATGAACAAATATATACATACACACTCTTACACACACACATATTCATCATGCATACATACGCACACACTAAGACGCATACTCACAAAGGCACTCTCGCTCACTCACTCACTCTCAAACACACCCTTACACACACACACACACAGTCATCATACTGTGCATACATACATACATACACACTCACACAAACACACATGCACACTCACACACAATCACACAGGTACAAGAAAAACACACAATTAACCGTATATGTAAATATACAGTAAATAGAGACCGTATGTGTTGTAGTACTCGAGTCCAGGACTCAGACTTGAGTCTGACTCGAGTCTCGATTTTCATGACTTGTGGCTCGACTTGGACGTGACCATTGGTGAATCAGACTTGGACTCGCCTTCTCGTGACTTTGCACTTGGACTGGATTGCCTGTGATAAGCAGAATATTAGCAGCACTAGATGCGCAGCGCAGCTAGGGTCCTGTTCATCATTGGGAAGGACGCGCCACACCCGGCACACACAGCCTACATCAGCTGGTGAGCTGCGGGGGAGCAAACGATGAGTGTTGGCAGACAGGCAGGCTCCGCTCCGATCATACACGTTGCGCAGGCGACTCTGTTGCTTCCCTGTAGCTAACCAGTCACCAGCCTTCTAGTTAGCTACCCTTTGCCTGGGCAGCCCTTTGCTGCAGTCAATGACCAAAGCGTCCTCTTTGGCCTCATGGGTGGAATGTTATGAATATCTTTCATAATTTCATAATTCCTAAAGATGTTTTTTTTTTTTTACAACGAAAATCCGTTGTTTCTATGTCAAACAGTTTTGTTATATTTCAGTCTTCTGTGATGTACAGTTGAAGTCGGAAGTTTACATAAGCTTCGGTTGGAGTCATTAAAACTAGTTTTTCAACCACTCCACAAATTTCTTGTTAACAAACTATAGTCGGTTAGGACATCTACTTTGTGCATGACACAAGTAATCTTTCCAACAATTGTTTACAGACAGATTATTTCAATTATAATTCACTGTATCACAATTCCAGTGGGTCAGAAGTTTACATACACTAAATTGACTGTGCCTTTAAAATTATATTATATTATGGCCTTAGAAGCTTCTGATAGGCTAATTGACATTATTTGAGTCAATTGGAGGTGTACCTGTGGATGTATTTCAAGGCCTACCTTCAAACTCAGTGCCTCTTTGCTTGACATCATGGGAAAATCAAAAGAAATCAGCCAAGACCTCAGAAAAAATATTGTAGACCTCCACAAGTCTGGTTTATCCTTGGGAGCAATTTCCAAACGACTGAAGGTACCACGTTCATCTGTACAAACAATAGTACGCAAGTATAAACACCATGGGACCACGCAGCCGTCATACCGCTCAGGAAGGAGACGCGTTCTGTCTCCTAGAGATTAACGTACTTTGGTGCGAAAAGTGCAAATCAATCCCAGAACAACAGCAAAGGACCTTGTGAAGATGCTGGAGGAAACAGGTACAAAAGTATCTTTATCCACAGTAAAACGAGTCCTATATCGACATAACCTGAAAGGCCGCTCAGCAAGGAAGAAGCCACTGCTCCAAACCGCCATAAAAAAGCCAGACTACGGTTTGCAACTGCACATGGGGACAAAGGTCATACTTTTTGGAAAAATGTCCTCTGGTCTGATGAAACAAAAATAGAACTGTTTGGCCATAATGACCATCGTTATGTTTGGAGGAAAAGGGGGTTGCTTGCAAGCCGAAGAACACCATCCCAACCGTGAAGCACGGGGGTGGCAGCATCATGCTGTGGGGGTGCTTTGCTGCAGGAGGGACTGGTGCACTTCACAAAATAGATGGCATCATGAGGAAGGAAAATTATGTGTATATATTAAAGCAACACCTCAAGACATCAGTCAGGAAGTTAAAGCTTGGTCGCAAATGGGTCTTCCAAATGGACAATGACCCCAAGCATACTTCCAAAGTTGTGGCAAAAGGGCTTAAGGATAACAAAGTCAAGGTATTGGAGTGGCCATCACCAAGCCCTGACCTCAATCCTATAGAAAATGTGTGGGCAGAACTGAAAAAGTGTGTGCGAGCAAGGAGGCCTACAAACCTGACTCAGTTACACCAGCGCTGTCAGGAGGAATGGGCCAAAATTCACCCAACTTATTGTGGGAAGCTTGTGGAAGGCTACCCGAAACGTTTGACCCAAGTTAAACATGTATGTAAACTTCTGACCCACTGGGAATGTGATGAAAAAAATAAAAGCTGAAATAAATCCTTCTCTCTACTATTATTCTGACATTTCACATTCTTAAAATAAAGTGGTGATCCTAACTGACCTAAGACAGGGAATTTTTACTAGGATTAAATGTCAGGAATTGTGGAAAACTGAGTTTAAATGTATTTGGCTAGGCTAAACTTCCGACTTCAACTGTATATAAAGTGTAATATTGGGATGCAAACTAAACATTTAATACATTTCAACTCTATATCTGACATGGTGTCTTCAGTTTTTTAAAGCCCATAACCATTTGTGTGAGGTGTATACTTTTGTTTCAAATTAGATTTGTTTAAGACTACTAAGAATCACTCTATGTGACCCTGATTTAGCCCAACACAGTAAAAGGTTAAGAAACACAAGCTGCTTTATGAAATTAAAAACGAAAGCATTGAGTTTAATAGTAAAACAACAGTCTAGCTTTGTTTGTCTCTCTCCCCCTTGAGTATAGAAAAGTAGGCTGTCTTTGAATTTGTCTTCCCGCTCCCTCCCACTCTCCCCACTGCATCCCATAGCCAGGTTCTGCCAAGTCTCCCTCTTTTCTACAGAGAAAATGGCTTGTTTCTTACCATTCAAAAAGTTATGACCCATATTACCGGCGCTACGTTTTTTTCTTTCTATCGCGCATTGGAGAGACACATTTTACATGCGTAAACCATATTGCAGGCTACACCTTGTTCAGTCAATTTACCTAATTAGCTAGCTTGCTAACAACCTGGTAACTTTACCAGTAGCCTTTATGCAAACATTTGGTGGCACAGAAAGAAAGGAAAAGGGATAGCAAACAATGTATTGACTAAATAATTCCTCTTGACATTACGCTATATCTGACTGGGTAAATCACTTTATTTTGAGTTAATGTGGACCCTGCGACTCAGACTTGAACACTTGGACCAGGACTCGAGCACTGGGACTCGGACTTCAGCCCTAGGGACTCGTGACTCGGACACGAGCACAGGGGACTTGGGACTCGACTCAGACTTAACGATTAGTGACTCGACTACATCACTGAGAGAAACACATTTGATTTAATTTGGGGTATCGAAATGACACAAGAAAATTCTCGATCCCCTGTCCCAGGTTCCCCAAGCTACACAGTGCAGTGATCCGGACCCAGGTTTTGGTCCAGCACTACTGTGTGGCCCTGATGGCTGTGTCAGGTCGGCCTGGCTCAGGGGGGCGGAGCATACATAAACACACCTCCGTCGAGACGCTGGAGATAGTCCAGAGCCTGCTCAGCTCCGCCCAGCGATGCCCCACCCACCACGGTCACATGGTGCTGCTACGGATCCCCTCATTGGCTCTGGCAGGGTGGGCCCACCAGCGGCTGGCGTGGGTCAGACAGAGACTGGGGCTGGGGGAGCGCTTTGAGATCATCCTGGGAAACCCCAGCCAAGCCCTCAGCATAGGACAGAGCTTCACTGAGCGCATCAAGGTAGGGGATAAACCACAGGACAACTGGGTCAAGAGTTCTGATTTATGATCAGTTTTGCTTTTGCCTTTTAGATCACAATGAATAAGATTACATGGACAGGGACCTGATCCTAGATCAGCACTCTAATCTGAGACACTTAATACATACGGATGCTGGTTAGCCACATAACAGTTAGCTACCCATATGACAGTTAGTTGAAAGGATTGTAAGACAATCTCAATATAGGGCAGGTTACATATTTTATAACATTATTTGTAAAAACTGGTAGGCTGAAAAGACTGTATATATTAGGTTGGATTGCTGGTGTTGGTATGGGCTAGCGTGATGGTGTGCCGTTAAGAACACAGGAGGAGTACAGATGAAAGGGCTAACCCGGTGAAATGGTTAAGGGAATATAGGTGGGATGGTAACAGATGTTTTTTTTTGTTCAATAAAACCTTAATGTAAACACCAAGGTTGAAGATGTATACATTACATATCAAACATTCTACTAACACTACACATTCCCTAGTCATTCTTCCAGTCCATTAGGTAGCCACTGATTGCCTTCAGGTGAGTTCGTTTAAAGGGCTCGTCACTAGTTACCACAGCCACAAAGTCATAATTATGTATAACCCCCACCTATTTCTAAACTTTTATCGTCTTGAAATCTGATCTTAACCCTCACCTTAAAGGGAAACTTCACAATTGTTCAACTTCATATTCATAATCTCCAGCACCACCCCAACATCAACATATGTGAAAATGGCGCATTTCTATGTTTTGTAGTAAAAAAGATAGAGGAAGATAAGTGTTTCCAATTACATCATCGGTGTGCATCGTTTTGATTTCGACCAATTGTGAGTTGGCATTGCCTACTAATTGTCTACTAATTGGTTGATGATGTCATTGGAAACACTTATCGTTCTCTATCTTTTTATCTGCTAAACATAGAAACGTGCCATTTTCACATACAGTGCCTTCGGAAAGTATTCAGACTATTTACATAAGTATTCAGACCCTTTACTCAGTACTTTGTTGAAGCACCTTTGGCAGCGATTACAGCATTGAGTCTTCTTGGGTATGACGCTACAAGCTTGGCACACTTGTATTTGGGGAGTTTCTCCCATTATTTTCTGCAGATCCTCTAAAGCTCTGTCAGGTTGGATGGGAGCTTTGCTGCACAGCTATTTTCAGACGTTCGATCGGGTTCAAGTCCGGGCTCTGGCTGGGCCACTCAAGGACATTCAGAGACTTGTCTCGAAGCCACTCCTGCGTTGTCTTGGCTGTGTGCTTAGGGTTGTTGTCCTGTTGGAAGGTAAACCTTCAACCCAGTCTGAGGTCCTGAGCGCTCTGGAGCAGGTTTTCATCAAGGATCTCTCTGTACTTTGCTCCGTTCATCTTTTCCTCGATCCTGACTAGTCTCCCAGTCCCTGCCGCTGAAAAACATCCCCACAGCATGATGCTGCCCCCACTATGCTTCACCGTAGGGATGGTGCCAGGTTTCCTTCAGACGTGACACTTGGCACTCAGGCCAAAGAGTTCAATGTTGGTTTCATCAGACCAGAGAATCTTGTTTCTCATGGTCTGAGAGTCTTTAGGTGCCTTTTGGTAAACTCCAAGCGGGCTGTCATGTGCCTTTTACTGAGGAGTGGCTTCCGTCTGGCCACTCTACCATAAAGGCCTGATTGGTGGAGAGCTGCAGAGATGGTTGTCCTTCTGGAAGGTTCTCCCATCTCCACAGAGGAACTCTAGAGCTCTGTCAGAGTGATCATCAGGTTCTTGGTCACCTCCCTGACCAAGGCCCTTTTCCCCTGATTGCTCACTTTGGCCGGGCGGCCAGCTCTAGGAAGAGTCTTGGTGGTTCCAAACATCTTCCATTTAAGAATGATGGACGCCGCTGTGTTCTTGGGGACCTTTAATGCTGCAGAAATGTTTTGGTACCCTTCCCCCAGATCTGTGCCTCGACATAATCCTGTCTCGGAGATCTACGGACAATTCCTTCGACCTCATGGCTTGGTTTTGGCTCTGACATGCACTGTCAACTGTGGGACCTTATATAGACAGGTGTGTGCCTTTCCAAATCATGTCCAATCAATTGAATTTACCACAGACAGGTGGACTCCAATCAAGTTGTAGAAACATCTCAAGGATGACCAATGGAAACAGGATGCACCTGAGCTCAATTTCGAGTCTCATAGCAAAACGTCTGAATACTTATGTAAATAAGGTATTTCTGTTTTTAATTTTTTATACATTTGTAAAACTTTCAAAAAACCTGTTTATTTCGCTTTGTCATTATGGGGTATTGTGTGTAGATTGCTGAAGATTTTTATTTATTTAATCCATTTTAGAATAAGGCTGTAACGTAAACACCAAGGTTGAAGAGCTATACATTACGTATCAAACATTCTACTAACACTACACATTCCCTAGTCATGCTTCCAGTCCATTAGGTAGCCATTTAAAGAGTGAGTTGGTGTGGCAGAAGTCTTGCACCTGCAACAGGAAGCTGGTGGGAAAGTCAGTCAATGTGAATGGGTGGAATTTCCTATATTATTAGATCCGTTATTGTTCTAGCACTTGGGTAAAGCCTGTCTGTGTGTTTTGTGTCCAGGCATGGCTGAAGATCAAGGAGACAGACTGGGTTCCCCGTACCTACCTGGAGCTAGAGGCTCTCCCCTGTATCCTCATCCTCTCTGGGGCAGACCCCCTGGGAGAGTCCCTACCCAGGTACACACACACACACACACACATAGTGCCTGTATATTTATCCTGATTGGTTGATTGATTGATGTATTTTCTCTCTCCGACCAGATCACTGAAGTACTGTGACCTGCGTGTGATAAGCTCCTCCTACCTGCAGCGCACATCACTGGAGGAGGAGCTGGGATTGGCTGCCTACCTGGTGAGGGTGGAGTCCCAGGGGTCACAACCCCACAGCCACGCCCCTGGCCCCGGTAGCGACCTATCAGAGAGCGACCCGGACAAACTCAGCAGCACCGACAACGAGGAGGAGGAGGGGGGAGAGAACGGTGAGCGATGGAGCGCCATCCACTGGCCAAATTCAATGAAATGAAATACAACACAATTCTAGCTATTCAATAATATACTATACTTTCAACATGGGTGTTTATAACCTTAAACAACCAATTTGACCGTTTATAACTCATCTCTGTATACATCCCTTACCCTCTTCCTCCTCTCCTGTCTTCCCTCTAGCTCTGAAGTTGGAGGTCCCTGGTTTGGGTCATTGCCCTCCCCCTCACCCTCCCTCAGCCCCCCAGCCCCCCCGACCCTTCTCCGACAGCAGTGGTGCGGACACCCTCCATCTCCACACCACCCCCCCTGACCCCCATCGCTCCCCCTGTCCAAACCCTAACCCACCTAACCCCTCCGACACCCAGCGCTGGCCCTCCAAGTCAACCTCCTCTGACTCCTCCTCCACCCTTCCCCCCTCCCCCCTTCAGAGCTGCTCCTGGGCGCGGGGGGTGAGTCGACCCCCCTCCGTGCTGCTGCCCCGGGCGCTCTATGACATCATCACAGCGTGCGACGGGAGCGGACTGCCTCGCTGCACCTCCTTCCTGCCGCACCTGTCTGTGGCCTGGGCCAGCTCCTTCAGGTAAGAACAAACACACACACCTCACCTGTCTGTAGCCTGGGCCAGCTCCACACACACTGGTGTGTAATATGATGCTGTATATCAACGTTTCCTCTGCTTTCTTTTCCTCTGGATCAGACCTCTGCTGAGTAAGATGATGACGTGTACAGAACAGTCTCTGTATTACCGCCAGTGGACCATCCCAAGGCCTTGCCACATGGACAGCAGCAACCGCCCTGCAGAGGGACGCACGGACAACTTCCACCCCCGCAGACTGCTGCTCAGTGGACCCCCACAGGTACACACACACATGCATGCACACACAAGTGACAGACACACACACACACACACACTATTCTGACTACTGTAACCTGTTCAGGTGGGGAAGACAGGAGCATACCTCCAGTTTCTGGGCATCCTGTCTCGTATGCTGATCAGACTGATGGAGGTGGACATCTATGACGAGGAAGATATCAACTCCAGTGAGTTACCATGGCAATACTCCCTGGCCTCAACTCCATAACTGCTATGACCCTCCACTCTGCACTAGTCTTAATAATATGCATCGCGTGTGTAATGCACTACGAATGAATTACAGTACAGTATATAGCTTCCATGAAGAGGTTATTTTAAGGAGCTATTTGCTAGTATAGACATCTTTGCGTTGTATATACAACATTTGTAATGCATTATGAATGAATTATATAGGCTTCCATGCATGTATAAACGTTGATTAAGGACCCATGAGCTGTTATGAATGTATTATGAATGTAAACACGTGTGTGTGTGTTATATAGGTGGCCAGCTGGAGTGTGTCCAGTACCACCCAGCCTGTGCCCCCTGGCCGATCACAGACACACTGAGGGGCATGCCCTTCGACTACACTATCCACAACCCCAAATATGAAGACATCAGCACTGTCTACTGCCCTGACTACTACCCCAACACAGACGGTAGGACAGGAGAGCGGGACATCTCTCTAGGTTATCATTATGATTGTGAGACTTACTAGATTATGTCATTGTCTTAGACTTCCTGATCTCTTTTTCTACTATTTCTAGCTTGGCTGAGCTCTGTACACTCTTAGAAAAAAATGGTTATTCTGCTGTCCCCATAGGAGAACCCTTTTTGGTTCCAGGTAGAACCCTTTTGGGTTCTAGATAGCACCTTTTATTCTAAGAGAGTAGCTATATGTATGTGGCTATCAGAGATGTTCTATGGTTGTTCCATGGTTCTAGACTGGCGTTTGCCAAGTTAACTAACCCCCAGCCCCTGTTCTGTCCCCCAGGAAACCCCAGACGTAAGGAGGATGTGTATCTGCGGAGGCGAACGGCCAGGATCAAACTGTCCAAATATGCAACCTACAACACCTACCACCACTGTGAACAGTGTCACCAGTACATGGGCTTCAACCCCAGATACCAGGTGAGCAGAGAACACACACACTGTTTATTCATAGTTTTACCAATCAGTGCTCAACTGTATTTTATTTAACTAGGCAAGTCAGTTAAGAACAAATTAGTATTTACAATGACGGTCTATCCCGGCCAAACCCTCCCCTAACCCGGACGACGCTGGGCCTATGGACTTACGATCACAGCTGGTTGTGATACAGCCTGGGATCGAACCCGGGTCTGTAGTGATGCCTCTAGCACTGCAATGCAGTGCCTTAGACCGCTGCGCCACCCAGGATCCAGCTGTATGTGTGTAGATGTATGATAATGTATTCTATACCTTCAGATAGATAATAATGTATTCCACCATATGCTTTACCTGTAGATGTATGAATCGACGCTGCATGCCTTCACCTTTTCCCACCTGCTGCTGGGGGAGGAGATCCAGCTCTACTTCATCATCCCCAAGTCTAAACAACACCACTTCAGCTTCAGCCAACCAGGAGGCCAGCTGGAGAGCATGAGACTGCCCCTCACCTCCGATTGGGTAACCTAACTAAGCGCCTTACCCCTAATACTAACCATAATACCCATTCTTCTGAAGGGTGCACTCGTTCACTCCTATTTATGGATGTAAGAAATGGACTGGTTTAAGAAATATGGTACAAACTCCTTACAACAATCCAGTGCCTTTCAATCTGCCAGGGGGATGAGCAAGTACACAAGTCGAGGAGAAGAGTAGAGAATCGGACCACAGCCATACTCTAAAATTTACATTAACCCCTACAGAATGCACTGCTTAATTTCACCACCCAAGAGCCTATTTTCCTCATCTGCCAACCTTTCTTTGTTTCTCTCTCTCTCTCTCTCTCTCTCTCTCTCTCTCTCTCTCTCTCTCTCTCTCTCTCTCTCTCTCTCTCTCTCTCTCTCTCTCTCTTTCTTTTCTATATACCTTCCCCATCTGAAACCTCCTCTAACATATACAGTCCTACAAAGTATAGAAGCCCGAAGATCATCAAATCTTTGCAGAACCCACTCAAACGTTTATATACAGCTGTATGTTTCTCCTTTCCCCCATCAGAACCCAGACTGCATCAAGAGCCCCATCTTCACCCCGACAACGGGTCGTCATGAGCACGGCCTGTTTAACCTGTACCATGCCATGGACGGGGCGGCCCACCTCCACATCCTGGTCATCAAGGAGTACGAGATGTCCATCTATAAGAAGTACTGGCCCAACCACATCATGCTGGTGCTGCCCACCGTCTTCAATGGAGCCGGCATCGGTACGCTAACCACCTCCACCTCCACTCTCTTTCCCATTCACTCACTACATCTCTCACTTTGTCTATCTCTCACCCACTCCCCCTGTTGTGGAGTGAGAGAGAGCGAGAGAGAGAGAGAGAGAGAGAGAGAGAGAGAGAGAGAGAGAGGGAGAGAGAGGGAGAGAGAGAGAGAGAGAGAGAGAGAGAGAGAGAGAGAGAGAGAGAGAGAGAGAGAGAGAATACACACAACAGACAGACTAACTAACAACATGAGACGCACTAACACATAAATATAACAATTTGTTATATGTGTTTCCCGATGTCTCCCTCTCTGACCTCTGGCCCCTCCCCCAAGGTGCGGCCCACTTCCTGATCAAGGAGCTGTCCTATCACAACCTGGAGCTGGAGCGCAGCCGCAGGCTGGAGGGAGGGGGGCCGCCGGGCAATGTCTGGCCCTTCATCATAGTCTCTGATGACTCCTGCGTCATGTGGAACGCCGTGGACCTGGACTCACACAGGCATATACACACTCACTCATACACACCTACTCACACACATACAAGGAACAAGTCTCAGCTACACACACATCAACACAATGTTGTTGTTTTTTAAATGGATGTTTTGAAAGTATTGTCCTCGCAGAGCTCTGTAGTCATCTCTCTGTCTTTCACTCTCTCTGTCTGTCTGTCTGTGTCCTCTCTCTCCCCTCCAGTGCCTCAGGGCCTGTAGAGAGGAACGTGTCTCTGAAGCAGGTGCTGCAGCACATGGAGGCGTGTCCTGACCTCACCCAGTACGGCCTCTGTGGGATCAGGAAGTGGAGCAGTCGCTCCCCGGGTCAGGGGGAGAGGGGAGGGGCTCGTCACGAGGAACCGTTCTCCAGAGGACACCTCCACGACTTCCTGCTTCTCAACGTGGACCTGACCCAGGACGTCCAATACAACGAGAACAGGTGAGACAGTAGAAAAGAATAGTAGTAGATACTCTTATCTAGATTAACTAGGGTTAAGTGCCTTGCTAAAGGGTACAACAAAATATTTCAAAAAACTAGTCAGCTCGGAGATTTGAACCAGCAACCTTTTGGGTACTGGCCCAACGCTATTAACCACTAGGCTACCTGCTGCCGAATATGAAAGAATAGAATAGAATAGAATGGAATGGAATACACTACAATACAATACAATACAATACAATACAATATAACCAGAATGGATGAGAAAGGACAGACACTTGACTTTACATAAGTAATTGTTATTGTAAGAAGAGTGTGGTTGCTAGGTTGAAGTGGTTTCTATGTGAAACACTGGTCTCTGGTGAAAAAACTTCACTGAACCATCACTCTTCCTCTTTCTCATTTTTCCTCTTTCTCACTCTTCTTTCTATCTTCCTTTTCTCACACTCCACTCTCTTCCTCCTCTCTCCTCTCTTCCTCTCTTCCTCTGCCCCCCTCTCCTCTTCTTCCTCCTCAGGTTCATGTGTGATGATGTGGACTTCACACTGCGAGCCCACAGCGCTGGTCTGCTCATCTGTCGTTTTAACAACTTCAGTGTGATGAAGAAACAGATCGCTATCGGAGGATACCGCACCTTCATCATCAAGACCAAGGTACAGTCTTACACACACACACATACACACACACACATACACACACACACACACACACACATACACACGCACACATACACAACATCACCTTCATCATCATGGGGTACAGTGTCACACGACTTAAGATCATATGTGGTGTTCCGCGTTGGATCGATTCATATCCCTTTCTAATGTAATATCTCAGTTTTGGGGCTCAATTTAATCAGTATCGCTGAAGTTCCGCATTATAGCACGATTTACATTATTAAGACATTTCCGAGTGAGCCGGCGGCGTGTACTGTGAATGCAGTTTCTGTCAATTCAGGAACATTACCTTTAAATTTCTATCCCGCTATAAGGCGGAACTTCAGCAATATGGATTGATTCGAGCCCCTAATGTTGTTGTAATGTTCATGCTTTGACCAATGTTGATGTAATGTGGGGTTTCAGATAACTGACGTCCCCACCTCCATCCAGCCGTCTCAGTATATCTGTGCCCCGGACAGCAAGCATCCATTCCTGGCCACGCCTGCACAGCTACTGCTGGAGAAATACCTGCAACACACCAGCCAACGCCTGTTCCCCCTCAGCGCACGCAACTACACACACCCCATTCTGTCTGTAGACTGCTACCTCAACCTGGGGCCTGAGGTACACACTCACACACACACACACACACACACACACACACACACACACACACACACACACACACACACACACACACACAAATACATATGTGGTTGTTTCGATGTCAGATCACTCATTGGTGCGTCTTTTATTTCCTCCCTCCCTCCACCCTCCTTCCCTCCCTCCACCCTCCTTCCCTCCCTCCACCCTCCTTCCCTCTCTCTCCAGGTGACGGTGTGTTTTGTGAGTTCCAGACCTCACGCCATCAACATCAGTACTGCAGAGCTGCTGTTCAGCGGCCTGCTGCTCTGCTTCTGTGATTCCTTCGTCACACCAGGCTTTCTCAAGAAGTTTCACTTCCTCAAAGGTACACGCACAAAGACCCATGCAGGCACACACACACACACACACACACAAAAGTCATCACATCCTCAAAGGTATTCTCTCTTCCGTCCTCCAGGGGCGATTCTGTGTGTGATATGTGCTGACCGCAGCTCTCTGAGACAGACGGTGGTGAGGCTGGAGCTCGAGGACGAGTGGAGGTTCCGGCTGAGTGACGAGTTCCAGACGGCCAACGCTAAAGAGGACCGCCCCCTCTTCTTCCTCACAGGGAAACACATATGAACTCCCGTACCCCTCACCGTGAACCCTGCAGTGGGGTCAAAATAGAAAGCCCAAAACGATCTGTACTCTTCTGGTGGATCAAGCCAATAACCATGGAGACAGTAACTGGTAGTGAATACAGCTGTGAGTCTGGGACTGGTATGGCTCTGTTCACTGTAGTATTACTGTAGTATTACTTTAGTATTACTTTAGTATCAACTACAATTTACTACAATACTCCTATTAACCCTCCACTTCTCTGTTGTGATGTGTTAAAAAGCAATTATTCCGCAGTGTATGCCACCGTTCATATTGTAGTTTATGAGATTTTTGACGGGTGTATTTTGTACAAACATTATTTTTGTAGACGTTTGTTTTGCCTGGGCTTTTGTGATGAAATGCATATATTTTGACAGCTTTCGTCATGTAAAAAGTACTTATCTATGTAACGTTTTCTTTATTGTCTACATAACAATGTTGGTTACGAAAGCGTTACGTGGGGACTCTTATGTGTATGCAGTTTGAATTTCTGACGCTCAGTGTTTGTAGCCTTCTGATGATCACTATGTTGAGAACCTTGAATCCATGGTGTCATGTTCTATAGACATGTTCTATTGACACAATGTCCTATGTACTGGATGTTTTACAATGTGTAAATGTACATATTTAGAAAACGGTCTCAATCTCTGTTGTCTTCTGTTGGTTATACACCAGTCCAGGTTTGGGTACATTCTGAATGATGTATTTGTTTTACTATGATCTACTTCTTGGGGGTAGTTACACAGTTCAAAGGGGCTTTAAACAAGGGCTCTCCAACTCATGCCCTGGGGAGCTACTGGGAGTGCACACTTTTGTTCTAGCCCAGCACTAACACACCTGTTTCAAATAATCAACTAATCGCAGGCTTCAGTGTGGACCAGGATTAGTTAGTTCTGGGTGGTGTCGAGGTGACTGGTACGGGCCGCCTCCCTGACGGACCTACTAGATTCACTCACGCCTGTGGATCTTCTCTTGGCCTCACAGGATGGGTCAACTCCCACCGCGCATTGTAGGCCTGGATTATTATGAGCCTCTTTCCCAGTGAGGGGGCCTCCCTGTCTTCCTACCCTGAGCTGAGTTAGCAGTGGAGCCCTGAGTTCCACTTTATCAACCGGGTCACCCATCTTGGTCTATCCCTGCTTGCCACAAAGGTTAGCTCACTCCTTCCTACTGATTACACTTCACAGGTAGCTTGTGACACGGTATACTATGCATCAACGGGGGCTATTTTTGCGTACAACACCAACGAGCGATCCAATATTTATTTATAGTCCGCTCTGTGCTATTTTATTACATGGTCCGGCTCTTACTGTGTGATTACTCGCCGTTAACGCAGGATACGTTCCACCACGGGGTTAAACTATTTATTATAAACACAGAATAATCTCAGACACTTCTGCTAGCGGCTGGTCCTCCCTATCTAATTGACCGGACAGTACCCCCACTGGTGAGTCACCCTAGCTAAGTCCCGGGTAAAGGGTTTCAGCTAAAATGAATTATTAAAAATTAACTCTTAACTGCACTTCGTCTGGGTAGAGGACAAACTGTAGACACCCAGTGCGCCTTTAGTGTGCTTTTTACACAGTTCCCCCCAAGCCTCCCTTTAGTTTCCTGGTCTGGCCGCGGGCCACCTAAGGTGAACCCTCTGAGCCTGTAGTTTTTATAATGCTACTCTAATTCTTGACTATTTTTTCAACCAATAAATTAACTAGTTAATGAAAACCAGTAATACTTCTCTTTTGGCTCCACAGCTTCACAATTGATGGATTTTATCGATGTTTTAAATAGCAATTAGAATGCAGTAGCTTCTAACAATAACAATTATATTCTGTTCTTACCTTGCACCAAAGTTTTCTAATACATCAATCAGCTCCTGTCTTCCCCAGAATCTCCCTTTCCCTATCTTCTACAATGGTTTTCATACACTTTTGCCCATGCCTCCTTTGACTACAGCCACACAACACATCTAAGCAAAGTTACATAACACATTGACTCCTTTACACATGATATCTACACAGCGTTAGGTAACACATTGTTTCCTTCATATGTGACGACAATGTGTGGTGTCATCTGCTTCATGGCCCACGTGCCATCAGGCAACTCCACCAGCTCCATCCCAGGGCTCGAGTTTGACGGGAGTGTCACCATATAAGATGAACCTTCGCCCTCCAGCAGAGGAACGTCTGCATACAGTCTACCTTCCCCGGTCACTTCCTCCCTGCCCTTGACTGAGTTTTGCTGCTCTCTAGCTGCTTGTGGTTGAGGCCTCTTCATGTTCATCTTCGGCTTCTTCTTGATCTTTCTTGTTTCAGTGTTACCAGAGTTCGGTTGGGGACTGGAGGAGTCATCAGGTCATACTGACTAGGCTCATTCACGAGAGCAGGGAGCAAAAGCCTACACAACCCTGCTCGAAACGTTGACTCACTGCACTTCACAAATCTCTCACTGCAACTCTAGTTTATCACCACTAGGGGGTGGTGTCTCCCTCTTTATTCCCTTTCTTTACATTCTGTCTGCTGCACACATGAGACTGAACCCTATCTATGGCAAGCAGAGGGCCACACACACTATATGATTACACTGACTGTCAGTGGAAGCTATTGCCACTGGGCTCAAGTTGTGGACAGTACAGTATGTGATCAGTAAATCTAGTCCAATTGAAATACTGACACCTAACAGTGTTTACAGCTAAGAGTTTCCTCTTAGTGAATCTTGAGTCATACTGTAGTTATACAGAAATATACCGCAGTATATAGTGTTCCCTAGTCCAAAAATCCTGTAGGATTTGTGATTTTTCCAATAGAATCCTATAGGATTTATAGGATTCTATTGGAAAAATCACTAATCCTACAGGACTTTGTCTCACCTCTACCAGAATCCTATTGGACTACTTTTTTCCTATTGGAAAACAAAAGTAATCCTATTGGATCCTATAGGATTCTCGCAACCCTTTTGGATTTTGTGTCACATCTATCAGAATCCTATCAGAATCCTATTGGAGCCCAGAGGGTTTTGATAAGTCTTGTAGGGTTTTGTCACCCTATTATAACTTGTTTTCTTAATTGAAGCTATTAAATTATAGTTTGTTAACATTTGTTCCAGTACAATACAACAACATTCATTACAACATTTTCGTTGATCGTAAACAACAGTTACATATTCCTTTCGGTTTTATTCACCACAATATGGGAGTGATTCAAGGCTTCAAGTTCATTTGCAGTATGACCACCAGTACAGTACACATTTTTCAACAAAACACTCACTTGAGTTATTTGATTTGATTCCTAGTCATGCAATGTCTTGTCTTTGAATAAGACATAACAATAACACAAGATTTTGGGGCGCGGGGGGGGGTTCCCTTAGAATGCACAGCATCTTTACATTGCTTATATGCAAATAAAAAGTAGAAGGAAAATACATTTTAGGTACAGTAACACAAAGATATGAGCATTTCTTTCATTTCAGATATAATAGTCAGCTATGCATACAAAAAATAGAATGTTCCCTTTACCCTCTACGTTGGGATAAGGAGAGAAAAATAAAAAACCTAAAGATAATGAGACCCCCCGACTGCTTCCCTCCCACGGTTGTACCAACCCTCTCCCTCCCCCTGCTTCCCTCCCAGGGTTGTACCAACCCTCTCCCTCCCCCCTGCTTCCCTCCCAGTGTTGTACCAACCCTCTCCCTCCCCCCTGCTTCCCTCCCAGGGTTGTACCAACCCTCTCCCTCCCCCTGCTTCCCTCCCAGTGTTGTACCAACCCTCTCCCTCCCCCTGCTTCCCTCCCAGGGTTGTACCAACCCTCTCCCTCCCCCTGCTTCCCTCCCAGGGTTGTACCAACCCTCTCCCTCCCCCTGCTTCCCTCCCAGGGTTGTACCAACCCTCTCCCTCCCCCTGCTTCCCTCCCAGGGTTGTACCAACCCTCTCCCAGCCCAAATGAATGCTTCACAGAGTTCAAGTAACAGACACATCTCAACATCAACTCTTCAGAGGAGACTGTGTGAATCAGGCCTTCATGGTCGAATTGCTGCAAAGAAACCACTACTAAAGGACACCAATAATAAGAAGAGACTTGCTTCGGCCAAGAAACATGAGCAATGGACATTAGACCGGTGGAAATGTGTCCTTTGGTCTGGATTCCAAATTGGAGATTTTTGGTTCCAACCGCCTTGTCTTTGTGAGACGCGGTGTGGGTGAGCGGATAAGTAAAGCCAGGAGGAGGATGTGTTATGGTGTGGGGGTGCTTTTCTGGTGACACTGTCTGTGATTTATTTAGCACACTTAACCAGCATGAATACCACAGCATTCTGCAGCGATACGCCATTCCATCTGGTTTGGGCTTAGTGGGACTAACATTTGTTTTTCAACAGGACAATGACCCAACACACCTCCAGGCTGTGTAAGGGCTATTTTACCAAGAAGGAGAGTGATGGAGTGCTGCATCAGATGACCTGGCCTCCACAATCCCCCGACCTCAACCAAATTGAGATGGTTTGGGATGAGTCGGACCGCAGAGTGAAAGAAAAGCAGCCAACAAGTGCTCAGCATATGTTGGAACTCCTTCAAGACAGTTAGAAAAGCATTCCAGGTGAAGCTGGTTGAGAGAATACCAAGAGTGTGCAAAGCTGTCATCAAGGCAAAGGGCGGCTATTTGAAGAATCTCAAATATAAAATATATTTTGATTTGTTTAACACGTTTTTGGTTACTACATGATTCCATATGTGTTATTTCATAGTTTTGATGTCTTCACTATTATTCTACAATGTAGAAAATAGTAAAAATAAAGAGTAGGTGTTCTAAAACTTTTGACCGGTAGTGTATGTCACATTAAGATTACATCAAATTCTTTATCTAGCTCTATGATGTTTGGCTGTAATGCCACATGGCACACCTTTTTGACGCAAATGTAAACAACCTTGCGGACAATCTCAGTAGGTTTCACAGCTATTGTTGTTGCAGTTGCCACAACAACCTTAATGC